ATATATATATATATATATATATATATATATATATATATATATTAAATAAAGGCACCCCAGCCAGGGTTGAAAAGGGTAGCCCACTGCAGTATTCACTTCCACATCAGGCTGTCCCTTGCAGTACCTATTTTCTTCCACAAGATGTCCTCAGTCTTCTGGGCTGAATGACAGCTATTATTTTACATCCTGGAAGACTGAGAACATACTGTGAGCTGAAGGCAAAATGGACCCGGCCCCTGAGGGGCATCACCACGGCACCCTGCACTCAGTGTAGTGATGCAGAGACCGGCGCTGACCTCAACTCCTATCCACATCAAGGACTGCCCACTGCTGGAGATTGGAAGAGGACCTAGCAGGTCACATGAGCTACCTGAAGAATTCCAGGAAAATGTATGTGTAAATATAAAAGAGAAAAAAAAAAAAAAGCTTAAAATACTGCCAGGGACCTCCAAGGGGTACAAACCTGAAGCTGGGCTTCAATGTTACAATGCATGAAGAAAATCTCTTAGTTACTGTGCACAAATAGAATAAATTGTTGCATCTCCCTCCTAATTATACTTCCAGTGTTCAATGTTTCTTGGTCATTGCTAAATATTAAAAAAAATGGTTGTCAGACATCAATCCTCAAAATCCTGACCTGCTTAGGTGGACAACGCTGATATCTTCATTAAGGGGAGGACCCCCGTTATCAGTGAATTGTCTGTTGCTGTGCTTTAATATCAATAAAGCAGAACTTCAAACAAATTATTTATTAAAAAGTTCTGGAAAAAAAAAAAGTGAATTCCCCTGAGGTGTATGCCACGTCCAGGATTGCTGCAGTTTCTATAATCTGTACAGTTTCATTCATGCCCTTGCTATACTTCTGGCCCAGTGAGAGCTCTCATACACAGACACCGTACTGTCATTTACCCACCCTCCCCTATCCTTGTCCATTCACAGAATGCCTTGTGTTTAGTGAACTACCATTAAAATACAAGACATTCTGTGAATGGACAAAGAAGAAAGGGGTGGATTAATAACAGAACAGGTTCTACCTCAGCGGACTAGAATGGCAGCCTGTGAGGAGGGAATTGAGCTCAGTAGCTGATCTAGCATAGGAGCACTGTGTTTAGGTCCTCCAAGGTCTATGTACAAGCAGGGGGGGACTGACAACTCATGGGGCCCCCGGGCAATAGGGGATCATGGGGCCCCTATGTCCTTGCCCAAACTCAAAAAAGCCTATGAAAAAAGTACCAGGGGCATCTCATGGGGCCCCCTACTGACCCCGGGCCCTCGGGCAGTGCCCGAGTTTCTAAATGATCAGTCCGCCCCGTGTACAAGTTATATGAAAGTTCAGTACATGCAGACGCTTCTACATCTATGCTTTCTATTACTGTTTCCCATTTAATTGGGTGAGGAAGGAGTAGGTTCTGGTGTCCAGAATAGTGCAAACACTCAAAAGCGGTTCCTAATCTGCCTCTGCATCACTACAATTTACGTTTTGAAATTTAGGAACCGCTTTTGAGCCCACTTCCATCCATCAGCATACTAACAGCCCTGAAGAAGGGGGAGACAAACTTCCCTGAAACGTGTTGGCTCGATTTATTGTTTGAACTTTCAGTAAATGCTCTTAGTCCTACATTGAGTTGCACTATTCTGAACATTGGGCACTCCTTCCTTACCCAAGTACCTCTTGCTGAAATGACCGCATGGTCGTACCTGAAAGGTAGCAGCCCAAGGGGGTCCATCATCATCACCGACTGTTGGGTTGAACCCACTGGAAGTGATCCCTTTCTCACTCCCCAAGGAGCCACCTACCAACTACTAGTGACCGATTAAGTCAGTGTGGTCTCCAACCCAAAGTGTTTCCTATTTACCACATTTGACCATTTTTATAACAAGTTTGGCACAATATAATTTCAGAATGTTTGCCTCCACTAATTTAAGGGGATCTTGTAGATCAACTTGGAACTGTGATGACTCCGGGTGGCTCTAGTCCAACATATTTCCTATCAAGAATGACAGAAGATGATTTTTCATTTGGGTGATCCTTGCAAATACTGTACATTAACTGGATTGTTCCTATTTTCATAAACAGGGTGCAATTATGGGTTACCATTGCAGAGATTAACAATACACTGTGAGCAATAACGAGGATTTCTGATGACTGAAAGGGGGGAGATTTCACAAAACTGTGGCACTCAGAATCTGGTGCAGCTGTGCATAACCAATCAGCTTCTAACTTCAGCTTGTTTCAATTAAGCTTTGACAATAAAACCCAGAAGCTGATTGGCTACTGTGCAGAGCTGCACCAGATTTTGCACTTTCCAGTTTTAGTAAATAACCCCCAATGTGTTCACTGCACAGATGAATTCCTTGTGTGTGTAAATATAGGACCTGCAAGAAACAGATTATCTAAAAAATAGGGGAAAAAAAAAACAAACTATACTATGCCTTTTCCCCAACACTTTTTTGCAGTTTTCATTTTCTCTGACACCAAGACAAGGAAAAGAGGAAGCCGTTGTCACTGGGACAGGAAGACATGCACAGTAATAAAAACTATATCAGGAGTTCTAAAATTTCCTCAGTCTAGTAGGGATGTTTGTTTCTGTCTGTGTACACACTGTAAAGATTTTCCAACACTTCTTGTCCTGACAATACCGCCAACAGGGACAGCAAGACAACCCAGACAGAGGGTCAGACTCTTCCATGCATTCGCAACAAAACAACAAAGCAATTTGCGAATTGAAATTGAAGCTGAAATCGCATCTAATGAATGTGAAGGTCGGTGTCTTAACATGTGAGATTCCCTGAAGCTCAATTTCTACAGTAGTTTTCGCATGACTTTTTCTGCAGTTTTGTTGCAATTTCACATACATAGAATATAATGGAAATCTCACTGCAAATTGCAAAAAATAGTTACATTTTCAAAAGTAGCAATAAAGTCTTCAAAAATTGCACCTGAAATCGTGCTGAAATTGCACACAAATTGCAGTGGTGTGACCAGTCGCTTAATCTCCACATTTTGACAAATCCTTCAAAATTCATGGAAGAAACTATTCTAGGTGATGTGTGGTAGTACTGTGCACCCTACAGATGTGTATTGTACACAGACTGTGAAGGTAGATTCATCTTCTTGTATGACAGGAAGTATTAGATATGGTTTCGCGGTCACTGTTCCAGACTTTTGCACCTTTTCTCTGTTAGAAGAGATTACGAGATTGATTTTGCAATTTTATCTGGTGTGCCGAGGATAACAGGATCACATTATAAAGAAGAATTAGTCAACTTAGAAATAAGTTTAATAGTTCTTTCAATCCATTTTATATAGGTTTTGTTTTTTTTTTTTTTTTTTAACAACTGTCCACCATTCTTTAAATTCATCGAGACATAAAAATCACTGCTGACTTCTCATTTCGAAATTATTAGTTGAATGGCTGCTGTGCCCCTGTTGTTGAACGAATAAATCTCATTTATTTTTTTAATCAGCGTTCTGTCCCCCAGGGAACAAAGCACATGCAGTACTTTGTCCAATCTTCCTAGGCTAGCTACATGCACAGACAGGATGCTCCCCTCTTTCCACACAGCCATCCGACAACACAGCTAGCAAGGAGACTGTTGAACTGATAGCCAGCACTTATTTCTGACTCCAAGCACTTGCCCAGGACCAGAACTGGCAGGAGGAAGGGTGCATATCAGCCTCCCATTCCTCTTGCAGGTACTTTTCTTGAACAAGTGCTTGGAGCCGTCTCCTTCCTATATCTGTTGTCGGGACAGTTGTGCATTCTGTTTGACAACATAGCTAGCCATCCGCAGCACATAGTAAGATGAGACAAAGTACTTTGTCCCCTGAGGGACCTGAACACTGCAATTCCTCTTGCCAGCACTTTTGTTTGGACGTGTGGTTGGAACTAAAGATGATCTATAGCTATCAAAGCAGCCATCTCCTTGCTAGCTGTTGTTGGAAGACGCTCTGTCTGATCATGTAGCTAGCCTTCTACAGCATATAGGAAGATGTACTACATGTACTTTGTCCCCTTGGGGACTGAGCACTGTAATGAAAAAAAATAAAAACGAGACTTCTTCCTTAATACCTTGAGTTACTGGCCTGAAGTAATTATGCAGTTAAAGCGGTATTCCAGTCATTTTTGTGTTTAATAAACATCAGCTATAAAAACTGTAGCTGCTGACTTTTAATAAACACACACTCCCCTATCCCAGGGTCCAGTGATGTGCTCACCCGCGCTGTCCATTCTCTCCCTGGTGCCGGCATCTCAACTGTGAGCACCTGGCTGTGACAGCTTGCAGCTTCACAGCCGGGTGCCCATTGCGCATCCTCATTGGTCCAGCAATCTTCAGCGACCTGTGAAGTATCCCAGAAGACTGCGGGAGGAATGAGGGGGGCCACAGCGAAGTGAACCAGAAGTGGGAGCGGGTATCTCTACCAGGTATCCGCTTCCCCTCTCCTCCTCCAAAAAATGCTAAATATGGCAGTGAAGAGGGGGGAAGGGGTGGGGGAGGAGGAAACAAACGGAGCTTGGGTGGAACTCCGCTTTAAGGAGTTTTGACTATTCTCAGGCTTTCAGGATCTGCATACTTGTTTCAAGGAGCGGCGAAAAAGTCATAAAAATGTCTCCTTCTGTATGATGTCCTGAATTAATAACTAAGTACCCAAATGTCTGGTGTCAGCACAGAAGTGAAGTCCGAATGTGCATTCTAAAGGCCACCAGAATGTAAGGAACCAGCAGCTCACACAGGGTCCAGCTGACATTATTGCAGTCCTTTTGGAGAAAAAAAAAAAACCTGGACAATAGTTAAAATGGCTGAAACAGAGCCATCTATGGCCGGCTTTACTGCAGCAGCATGGTAAAGTTTTCAGCACACCACAATCCTTTATGTTCCCAGTATTTCTTATAGAACCTCATTATATACAGCGGCCAGTCTAATGGAGCAGGTACAATACTGCCACCTCATGGTACATTTTGGGAAGTTCTGGCTAAAACCGACACAGGTCTCCAAGGTCACTTCTTTTTTCTCCGCACCACAGTCCATCCATCAGCTTCTTGTTCCGGCTCCTGAAGATCCCCGCTGTGCCCACCAGCCTCTGATGTGCTGGAAACGCTCACTACAGCAGAAGACGTATTGATACTCGTCTCACACTCCATTGCCTGCAGCAGAACAGGAAAACATTAGTAGTACAAATATATAGAAACAATTGCCTCCAATACACGGACTATTACACACACATATGAGTACTAGTTAAAGCAAAGCAGCTACTCCTCATCTGAAAATACAGAACCTCTGCATTAAACATACACCACTTTTTTATTCTGCTGCATCTTTCCCATATGAATGACTGCTATATAGAATTGCTGTTGCTAGGTTACAGGGGAAAGAAAGAATGAATGAACTACACAGTCATTGTGGTGAATACTACCTGCGTGTGTACTCAGCCAAGCATCCAGGTCACACGGATGATGTATGAGTGGGCAGTGGGGTGCAGAGAAATTGTCAATGTTGGAGGAGCGGATATAAAATGAACAATAGACATGATATGACAGCAAGGCTGATTAATACATGACCCTCCGCTGTACTCCTATGTAAACCTACAACCCGCTGTATTATCGCACACGGCGAACATCGTGTAGCAGAGCCATCAACAAAACATGCTGCACTCTTTTTCCATTTTCCAGCATATAAAAGATTGTTGCTGTGTGCTTGGCAACACACACGGGGAGATTTATCCTATTTTCATAAAGAGGGTGCAATTATGGGTTACCATTCCAGAGATTAACAATACACTGTGAGCAATAACGAGGATTTCTGATGACTGAAAGGGGGGAGATTTCACAAAACTGGAGCACTCAGAATCTGGTGCAGCTGTGCATGGGAGACAATCAGCTTGGATACTGATTGGATACTATGCACAGCTGTACCAGATTCTGTGTGCACCAGTTTAATAAATCTCCCCAACACCATCCAATCACTAAAATGCTTGCTGGCTAGTGTCTGTTGTGTAGGGGAAGTGCGATATTACAGTGCACTGCATCATTTACTTTTTTTCTCCTTTTTTAACTTTACACCATCACAGTATTTTTTATTTTTCATAAAAAAAGTGCCCACCCCACTAAAACATTGTTTTCCTAATCCATGGAAAACCTATCATCAAAGTGCTAATATCGTTAAATAATAATCAAAACATGATTTAAATAATGTCCAATAAATATAAATTCATAAATTAACCGCTTACCGACCGCCCTATAGCAGAAATACTGCTACAGGCGGCATGGGTGTGCAAAATCGTGTATTTGCATTTCATTGTATTCACGATTTTGCATATCCGGTAGGTGGAGTGCACGAGCCCTACCCACACCGCCGTCAATCACCGGGTCCCGCCCAGTAGTTACTGAGCATCTCCGACAGGGAGGAGGACTGCTTTGTTTACTAACAGTTCTCCCTGTAATTGCTGATTACAGTGAAGCACCAACACACCACCCCCTAGTAAAACACTTCCTGCACAGAGGTAACCCTTTGATCGCCCCTCATGTTAACCCCTTCCTGCCCAGTGCCGTTAGTACAGTGTCAGCCTTTTTTTTTTTTTTTTTTTTTTAAGCACTGATCACTGGGGATGTCAGTGACACCACGTCAGTTCCCCCAGTGTCAGAATGTCCGCCGCAGCTTGTCTATAAGTCACTGATCGGCGCCATTACTAGTAGAAAAAATAAATAAAAAATATATATATACACCGCCAATTGTAAACGCTGTAACTTTCACGTAAACCAATTAATTTACATGTATTGGGATTTTTTTTTTTTAGCAAAGAATACATTTTGGCCTAAATTTGACAAAATTTTATTTTTTTTATTTTTTTACTGGACATGTTTAATAGTAAAAAGTCAAAAATATTTTTCACAAAATTGTCGCTTTTTTTGTTATAGCGCAAAAAATAAAAACATACAGGTGATCAAATATCACCAAAAAAAGCTCAATTAGTGAGGGAAAAAAAATGATGTCAATTTAATTTGGGTGCAGCGTTGCATGATCGCGCAATTGTCAGCTAAAGTAACGCAGTGCCGTGCCATAACGCAAAATATGGCCTGGTCATGGGGGGGTAAATCCTCTGAAGGGCAAGTAGTTAAACAGTGTTCATAAATTAAAAGTCCATCCACTGATTTTTTTTCATCCACTTACGTGCCCAACACCTGTGTAAATTCCATTTGTTGCTGATTCACCGCCACGTGCATTAAATGCTTACCAGAGCCATAATAATTCATGAACGTTCCAAAAACAATGAGGAAGCAGATGCCACCAGGGTCTTCTTTTTCAGATAAACCAGCGTGATAATATACACACACTCAAGAAACAAAAATGCTTCCCATGGTGTAGTAAATTGGATGGATGAAACTAAGATGAATCTGTACCAGAATGATGGGAAGAAAAAAGTGTGGAGAAGGCTTGGAACAGCTCATGATCCAAAGCACACAATGTCCTCAGTAAAACATGGTGGAGGCAGTGTGATGGCATGGGCATGCATGGCTTCCAGTGGCACTGGGTCATTGGTGGTTATTGATGTGACAGAAGCAGCCGGATGAATTCTACAGTGTTTACAGATATACTGTCGGCCCAGAGTCAGCCAAATGCAGCAAAGTTGATTGGACGGCGCTTCACAGTACAGATGGACAATGATCCAAAACACACTGCGAAAGCAACCCAGGAGCTTTTAAAGGAATAGAAGTGGAATATTCTGCAATGGCCGAGTCAATCACCTGATCTCAACCCAATTGAGCATGCATTTCACTTGCTGAAGGCAAAAGTAAAGGCAGAAAAACCCACAAAGAACAACTGGCAAAGCATCAGAAAAGAGGAAACCCAGTCTTTGGTAATGTCCATGGGTTCCAGACTTCAGGCAGTCATTGCCAGTAAAGGATTCTCAACAAAAATATAAAAAATTAACACTTTATTTCTGATTATATTCATTTTTCCAATTACATTTGAGCCCCTGAAAATGGAGGGACTGAGTATAAAAATGGTTGCAGTGCCTAAAATGTGTACTTTATATTTATGTTCAACCCCTTGAATTAAACTGAAAGTCTGCACTTCACATTCATTTGGATTGTTTCGTTTAATTTATTCTGGTGGCATACAGGGCCAAAAGTATGACAATTGTGCCTATGTCCAAATATATATGGACCTAACTGTATATGCTAAAATAATTCTAAACGAGGAGCCTGTCACCTGTGTATTCACTCAACCCTTGCTGCCACTAGTGCTAATGTCTTTGCTCACTAGTTTCAGAGTCAGTTCTTACCTCCTCTTCCTCGTCACCATCACTGCTTTCCTCCTCATCCTCCTTAGCTTTCACTTCCTGAACATTGGCTTTCACGTTGTACTTCTTCTGAGAAAGCTGTGTGATCTTTTGCTGCACTGCAGCTGTGTCTCCACGCTGACACTGAGAATGCAAAGTGCACAGCAGCTGGGCTATCTGCACCAGAAGAAACACAATACCAAAACAGTAAAATCTTTAGTTGACTGAGATAAACAATCATAATTAGAATTTATGATCCTTAACCCCCTTGGCGCTGGCGCCTCCCGGCCCTTTAAGGGGTTTGTGATGCCGTAAGGTGGGGGCGGGGTTTAGGGTCATGTGACCACTGATTGGCTAATCACCGCAGTCACATGATCGGAAAACTCCTAACTGCAAGTAACAATCAGGACCTTTCCATGAGGTACCAGTAAATATGTCGGGAGCCTTATCTTGGCACATCTTGTGTTTACATTGGGTACGCAAATATGCAGCCCCTCTGGGCCATGGCCCAGCCACCGAGATGCCCATATTCGCATACACTCGGCGCCAAGGAGTTAAAATATAGTGTACTGTCCAATTCAACTATGTTCAATAGCGCTTTTAGACTGCATTCACACCTGAGAGTTTTGTACCTCAAAAGATGCCACACAAGCAAAATCCCATTCATTTCAATGGCCTCTGTTCACGCTCAGATGGAAACGGGCCGTTATAAAGAATGGGATTTTGCTTGTTGAGCATCTTCAAGCTACAAAACACTCAAGTGTGAATGCAGCCTTACAACCATTGTGATTGGGGGCGGTTGTAGGCAGATATATACACACACGATGATCGCTGCCTGATCCACCAGACAGTGGTTGGATTGTAGAATAACTTTTTGGGCTACCCCTCACCTGTGCAGACATCGCAGGGCCTTTAGATATAAGAACAGAAAACTATATCAAATACTTACCATAATTTCCCTTTCCTGGAACCAATTCATGGCAGCATACTACCACATGTATGCTGACGCCAGCAAAACGGAAAATTGTATCAAATACCGTCATTTTCCTTTCTTGGCGCAAATCCACGGCAGCATACTTGTGGTAGTATGCTGCCATGTTGGCACCAGTAAATATTTAAAAAAATGTAAAGCCTCATTTCAGACTATATATTTATATATACACAAACGCATCTGCAGCTTACCAGTCCTTACATTTGGTGGCTGCGTTTTTTTTTTTTCTTTTCTAAAACTCTACTTTTCTTCATTTTCACCTGGTGTGCCTGCCAGTAACACACTTCCTCTCCTAGCAGTAGCATTGTCAGTATAGGACAGGACTATAGAACACCTTCCCCTCCCTTCTCTAACAAAGGGGAGGAGTTTTGTAGTCATCAGAGAGAACGTGCATTTTGAAGCATGGACAACAGACTGATGTGTTCCAGAAGAAAGCTGCTTTGTGTTCATCATCTTTTTTAAACTGAAAATGAACTACTGCCAGGTTTGCTAAAAGACACGAGTGAATGTCTTCAAATCTGTCAACAAATGATTTGCGCATACCACCAAACATTGCTTATGCTGATTTCTCCAACGTGCTTAACAAATTTGTTCTGTGATAATACAGAAAAACAAATCTTCCTGTTTGTTCTCCTACACATCACCCTGATTTAGACCTGAACACCTCTACAACTGTATAAATCAAAAAAAAACCAAAACATAGCATCCTATGGAGTAGGAAGAAGGACCGCAAACAGAGAAGCTGCTCTTTCTCTTTTCTACTTTCTTTTCTTCTTATGATACTGCAGACATGTTAGGTACTAATTGTTTTAAAAAAAAAAAAAACAACATTCTTTTCTCAAGGAGGGAAAATTCAGAATATTTTTTTTTTTTTTTAATTGACGCATGAAAACAAGCACCAGTAGCAGCTGGAGGCCATGAATAGGGATGCCAATTGTTTTTTTTCTTCTGAAGTAGAAATGGCAGAAATTTCCTACTGAGAACAGTACAGACTAATGTCCTTCCTCAAATCTATTTAAAAAGTTGCGATATTTGTTGTCTGTGTGAAACCTATACTTCCACTGTTTTTTGCTGTAAAAGCTACAACTATTGTCACAAGTTCTCTGAACATAGAGATCTCTTACTGCAATAAATATAGTAATGGGATTGAAAATCTAACTCATTAAATCATTGTCTGAATAACTTTTAATTAATAAAACTGAGGTTTAGTTAAAAGATTTGGGGGGCATACAGCGCCAGTGTAAAATTGTATTTCTAATGATGTGTATCCCACTTGATCCTGGCTTCTGGTTACTGTAATAATCCTTCTCTCAGTGATCCCAAAGACCTCCCACAGCTGGTAATTTCTGGCACTGCAGAGGTTAATAGCAGAACAGCAACTGAGGACAACTCAGTGGCTCTCTATGCCCCCCATAAATTCTAGTAAATATCAGCTTTAAAAAACTACCATGGTTAATGTTCTTACCAGAGGTAAACTTCCATCCTCCACTACTGTATCAAACTCATCATTCATTATTGCCTGTAGGGTCTCTTCTACCTCATACTGCTCCAGGTCAGCTGCAAAAGAAAAGAAAATATTACTAAAATGATGATCGCAAGGGGGCAGGGCTGGGAACACCTTAATATGCCTTGATTAGAGAATACAGGTACAGGAAGTGTACAGAGGTGGGCAACTGCGGCCCTCCAGCTGGTGTGGACCTTCTTGTCCCTATGTGGCATTGCAAGACTGAGTTACAAACATGACTCCCAGAGGCAGAGGCATGATGGGAAGACTGACAGTTACGCCCAGAGTCAGAGACATGATGGGAGTTGTAGTTCTGCAAAAGCTGGGGGGGGGGGCTGCATTTGCCCACCCTTCTTCTAAATCCTATCAAGCTGATTACAAAACCACTCCAAGTAAAACATATTCATTTATTTTTGATGCATTCATTTATAAAACTGCTGTCTTTTTAACCCACAAATATTTGTAAAATACATGATGTGGCTCTCACACTGAAATTTTTGGAGACCCCTTTTGTATAGCATTCAACATTTTTTTTACACATCAGCTATTTTTTTTTTTTTTTAGCTCAGCTTAGTTAGTCCTGAAATTTCTCAATACCTGAGTTGCTGTACGCTATCTGAAATCAGGTTTTCAGTGTACAGAGGTGGTCTTGGAGGATGGAGACAGCAGAGGAAGTGTGTCACCAATGATTTTCATAACGAATCCAAAGAGCGTGTAGAAGGTTGAGCAGTGTCACCTAGAAAGGTTTCTAAAGTTCTGTATCCTGCTTACTTATGAAGGATTTACGTTTCTCTCTTTATTTCAGTTTTGCTTTTTAAAGACAATTGGAGCTCAGTGTCAAAGGGGATCCCTTGACATCTGTCATTGTGTTGCTTTGTCAGCTGCTGGCTCATATGCCGATAATACATATTGACTCTCCGCTTGGAGTCTGCACAACAGTATCAAAAATAAGAGAACTAAGTTCAATAGCTCATGGTAATGGTAGTAAAAGCTGGGCGCTGTTTGGCGCTGGAGACCCCTTATCCTTCTCCCTCTTACAGGGACTCGGGTCATGCTTACAGTTAGTATGAAAATACTGATCCACGGCTCCCACCATCCATTCTGCCTTCTCCTGGACATAAGGACCCCCAAAGCAATTCTCTACAGCGATCTGTGAACAGGAAGGGATATAGATTACCAGTCACATTCATCAACAATGATGCATTCTGTGTATTAGAAAAAAAACAAAACACAATTATAAAGACTTTAAATTTAGAAGGAAACAATAAGTAGAAACCATTCCTATTGGGTAAAGTGCAGATTTGGAGTCTGCTCCCACAGTTTACCAAAACAATGCTCCAATTTCCAGTTGATTAGGTGGACAAGGCAGGATCCACTTGAAGTGGAATTGCAGCTTAAACTAGCCTAAAAACTGCCCCCCCCCCCCTCCTAACACCTATGCTGACTAACCTGTATAAGAAAGATGGATATACTTGCCTTTTTTTCAGGTCGCTTCAGTCTGGTCACATGATCGTTCCCCTGTGTCAGCGAGCAGCAGCTGCAGGGGAGAGGAGGGATTGTTACCAGGGGATGGGCCATTGAAGCCTATGTTTGATGGCAGTACTCCAGGCTTTACTAGCCATTTTCAGAGTGCTCTTTCCTCTCCCTTGCAGCTGCCACATGACCAGGGCGGGCTGAAAATGGGGTCAGGTTAGTCAGCATAGGTGTTACGGGGAAGGGAGCCTGGAATTACACTTTAATTACTGTCTTTGTCACTGCCTTGGAGAATCACCTTCTATTTATCACAGGTGAATATTATCACTCAGCCTGAAAGTGAGGGGAAATCCTACATTTTCAGTTGTGATCAAAGGGCCCATGCTTGCAGCTGTACAATGTAAAATTGGGGCATCTTTCCTTGCCCCAGAGCCACAGGTACTGCATACAGCTGCCCACAGATGTCAATGGCTGTACATTGGTATACACCGGTACAACAGGCGCATGCATACAATCCCATCTGTATTCATAGTGTTATTTCCGTATGCATGAGCATGTTTATGCAATACCATATATACCTGTGTATAGCCATTGGTGTCTATGAGCTTGTTCACATAGCAGCTGGGGGTGGTAAAACTCTGCGGTTAAAACCACAATTAATTTTTGCGCACTCCCAGTACAAAGACGACCTGCCAAAAATGACTGTTGCTCCTGAGAAGGCACCAGCTTCTGATCATGTGACCACTGTGACAGTAGTCACAAGATTGCCGATCCTTCCCGCCCCCCCTGGAGGATATTAAAGCGGAGCTCCAGTCAGAATGTAAAAAAATAACTCAGCAGCTACAAAAGCTGTAGTTGCTGACTTTCAAAAAACAAAACAGACTTGCTTGTCCCTCGATCCAACGGTATCTTCACCACAGCTGGTTTCACTGGCTATCCTCGTTCCCTTGCATTTTAAGTCCATTCATTTTAATGACTTGCCCGACTCACAATAAAATCAGTCCCTTTTCCAAAACCGCACAGCACCATGCAGGTTGGCGCATGCATGGGAGTGCCATTAAAGTGTTACTAAACCCCGGACCCTGCATTCATTATCTGGTCCCCCCGGACCCTGCATTCATTATATCTGGTCTCCCCGAACCCTGCCTTCACTATATCCGGTCTCCCCCCGGACCCTGCATTCACTATATATGGTCTCCCTGGACCCTGCATTCACTATATCTGGTCTCCCTGGACCCTGCCTTCACTATATCTGGTCTCCCCGAACCCTGCCTTCACTATATCTGGTCTCCCTGGACCCTGCATTCACTATATCTGGTCTCCCTGGACCCCCGGACCCTGCATTCACTTATATCTGGTCTCACTATATCCGGACCCTGCATTCACTATATCCGCTGGACCCTCTCACCCCGGACCCTGGACCCTGCATTCACTATTCACTATATCTGGTCTCCCCGGACCCTGCATTCACTATATCCGGTCTCCCCGGACCCTGCATTCACTATATCCCCGGTCTCCCCGGACCCTGCATTCACTATATCCCCTGCTCTTCCCCGGACCCTGCATTCACTATATCCGCTCTCCCCGGACCCTGCATTCACTATATCCGCTCTCCCCGGACCCTGCATTCACTATATCCGCTCTCCCCGGACCCTGCATTCACTATATGTGGTCTCCCCGGACCCTGCATTCACTATATCCGTGGTCTCCCCGGACCCTGCATTCACTATATCCGGTCTCCCCGGACCCTGCATTCATATCTACCCTGCATCCACTCTCCCCGGACCCCCTGCATTCACTATATCCGGTCTCCCCGGACCCTGCATTCACCCTGCCTTCACTATATCCGGTCTCCCCGGACCCCAGACCCTGCATTCACTATATCCGGTCTCCCCGGACCCTGCATTCACTATATCCGGTCTCCCCGGACCCTGCATTCACTATATCCGTGGTCTCTTCCTATATCTGGATTCACCCTTCCCGCCCTGCATTCACTATATCTGGTCTCCCCGGACCCTGCCTTCACTATATCCGGTCTCCCCGGACCCTGCATTCACTATATCTGGTCTCCCCGGACCCTGCATTTCACTATATCCGGTCTCCCCGGACCCTGCATTCACTATATCCGCTCTCCCCGGACCCTGCATTCACCATATCCGCTCTCCCCGGACCCTGCTTCACTATATCCGCTCTCCCCGGACCCTGCATTCACTATATCCCGCTGTGGTCCCCTGGACCCTGCATTCACTATATGTGGTCTTCCTGGACCCTGCATTCACTATATCCACTCTCCCCGGACCCTGCATTCACTATATCCGGTCTCCCCGGACCCTGCATTCACTATATCCGTCTCCCCGGACCCTGCCTTCACTATATCCGGTCTCCCTGGACCCCGTCTTCACTATATCTGGTCTCCCCGGACCCTGCATTCACTATATCCGGTCTCCCCGGACCCTGCATTCACTATATCCGGTCTCCGACAATACACAGAACATGGAAATGCAATTATTTTAGTAAATATAAACTGCTAAACACATTTCTCATCAGCATTATATAGCAGTCTTGTGACTTCTATCAGTGTCCAGCAGAGCACTGATTAAAGCTTGTAGGAGGCGTTGCAAGACCCCTGACCCCTCTGTCTGGACAGCACTGATTGGCCCTGTGCTGATCACAAGAAAAAAATAACTCTCTATTCCTGCACGGGTGTCAAACTGGCGGCCCTCCAGCTGTTGCCAAACTACACGTTCCATGAGGCATTGCAAGACAAGATTGACAGTTACAAGCATGACTCTGAAAGGCAGAGGCATAATGGGACTTGTAGTTTCACAACAGCTGGAAGGCCGCCAGTCTGACACCCCTAAAGCAAACTGAGCATGTGCAGCTTGCCCCCAAGGCGCTGTTCTATCAGCAGGATTGGGGACAGTAGAAGGGGAGGATCAGAGAAGTCAGGATCAAACAGCCTTTTTACACAATGCAGAGGATTAACCCCTTAGGTTCCACAGTGAGTATAACAAGCATGATTTACTGCACATACAGACTGATTGTACTGTTGTGGGTTTAGTAACACTTTAACAGGGCAGGGCATTGGTTGCAATTTTGAATGCATTCCCACCACACACCTGGCCTAAGATTACCTCTGACTTCCTGTTAGGTCTACAGGGCAGGAAGTGAAGGGAAATCTTCCCAAAACAAAATATTTGGCCTATTATATACACGCTTTATTTTTTAATATTTAATAAAAATAATTCCCTAAGCTGCCCCTAGCAACCCTAATTATAGGGAAACCTAGAATAAAGAGAAGCATTTGCTTGTAGTGTCCTGTGAGGCCTGACTGCCTGCTCCCCCCTGAACACAGCTGGATCAATAAAGTTATTACAAAGAAAGAAAAAACCACGCAATCTGTGCCAGGATCGGGGGAAATGGTAAGAACAGTGTCGGGTCACCTGGAGCACCGGCCAGCTCCCCAGCACCGACCGCACCGCCTCATGGAACAGACCACGAGACACAGCACTGCGCGCCGCCATGACGGCTCCTCTTCACTGCCCACGTGACAGAGCGCACCAATGATCGGACCGCTCAGGCTACGTTAGTCGAACGTCGATAGAATCCATAGAGCGCCGCTCTGCAGGGATGGCAATGAAATACGTAGATCAGCGTGCGTTACCATGGAGACCTGCTGAGGTTTCTATGTAAACATGGCCTGATTTCCAGTATACTCGGGAGCTGATCACGTGACTTGTCACCAAAATATAAACACTCTTCAACCGCCATAGGAAAATGCTGAAATTCCTTCGAACTGTCACTTATATTGTCTCATTTCTGATATAAAAAAAAATCTATAAAAATCTTTTATTTATACAGACCCTGTAACTTGGAAAAAAAATGTTTAACCATTTTGCTGCCAGAAGTTTTTTGTGTTTTTTTGCACACCCCTTGCCCTCCTGAGGATTTACCCTCCCCCCCCCCCCCCGCCTACATTCCTGACCAGGCTATTTATTGCAATACGGTGCTGCGTTACTTTAGCAATTGAGTGGTCATGCAACGCTGTACATAAAATTTGTCCCTTTTTTTCCCCACAAATGGAGCTTTTTTTCGGTGGTATTTGGTCGCCTGTGCGTTTTTTTTTTATTTTTTGAGCTATGAACAAAAAAAGTAACAGTTTTGAGAAAAAAACATCTAGGGTTCCACCTCATCCTTTTAAAACCTGACACGTATTAATTACTCAGATTCTGAGGCTGATTAACCCCTCGCCCTGCAGAGGATTCCCCCCCCCCCTTCTTGACCAGGCCATTTTTTTGCGCTACGGCTCTGCGTTACTGTAATTGACAATTGCGCGGTCATGCAACGCTGCACCCAAATGAAATTTACGTCCTTTTTTTCCCACAAATTGAGCTGTCTTTCGGTGGTAGTCACCTGTACATTTTTTATTTTTTGAGCTATGAACAAAAAAAGATTTTGATAAAAAAACAATATTTTTGACTTTTTGCTTTAAAATATATCCAGTAAAAAAATTTAAAAAAATCTAATTTCATAAATTTAGGGCAAAATGTATTCTGCTCCATGTCCTTGAAAAAAAAAAAATACTGGAATTTTTTTTTTTTTTTTATACTAGTAATGGCGGCAATCAGCGACTTATAGCGGGACTGCAGCAGGCATTCTGACACTGGGGGGAACTGACTGCCACGGACATCCCCAGTGACACTAATACAGTGATCAGTGCTAATAAAAAGCACTGACAGTGTATTAATGGCACTGGGCAGGAAGGGGTTAACATCTGCGGGCGATCAAAGGGTTAACTGTGTGCTGTTTTACTAGGAAGACATGCTGTGCAGAGAAATACACAGCAGCATGTCCTTGCTGGCAGGAGAGAGACCTGTGTTGTTCACACACAGGTCTCTCCCCTGTCAACTTTGCCGGATAATTGCCGGGTGCCGGCGGGGAATCTCGGTGATTGACATCCCTAGCAGCCAGGGGCGGACTGCCAACTCATGGCCAATAGGGGACCATGGGACCCCTGTGTCCTTGCCCAAACTCAAAAAAGCCTATGAAAACGGTACTAGGGGCATCTCATTGGGCCCCCTACTGACCCCGGGCCCTCGGGCAGTGCCTGAGTTTCCAAATGGTCTCCGCCCCTGCCAACAGCAAACGACAGCATGTGCGCCCCCCTACCTGGAAATGCAAAATCACGTATATATACGTGATTTTGCACAGCCCTCCTGCCCTGTAGCAGTACTTCTGCTATAGGGCGGAGGGCGAGCGGTTAATAAAAAAAAAAATAATTTTAGGACTGAATATTAAAATCTCCAAACCCTGCAGAATAAAATGGTGGGTTTTTTTTTAGGTCACACAATATTTGTGCAATAGATAAGGTTGCGCCAAGTAAGTAGATACCCAACATGTAAAGCTTTAGGCCTTGTCCACACGGGTGTACTACAGCGTACATCCGTGTAGGGACGGGTTTTACCCACATGGGCCCCTTTCACACTAACGGTCCTATCAGACTATCCATAAACTTCTATGGAGCAGCGGGTGTCAACGGACAAGTGTCTGCTGACACCCGCCACCATCCAATCTATTCAGATGGGGATCCGTTCCTCATCCGTCCGATGGATCAGATGACAGTTGGGTGGAAACTGACAGGTGGTCTGTTTCCATCCACCCGCTCCATAGGAAAAAGCAGGCTGTGTCTGCTCTGCAGCAGCGGAGCGGACGCAGACCTGTCATCCGCTTGCTCAGTGGGGATCAGCGCAGAATCCCTAGTGAGCAAACGGATCCGCTGATGGATCTGAAAGGGGCCTTAGGGGCACACAGGTGTTCCATGCATCCCCATGCAGGCAGTCGCAGTCCTTTCAACTGAGATGCTGCAGCTGCATGGACACAGCCGTTGCTCCCAATCTGACATCTATGCACGTGTCTGACCGCAGAAAGTGTGCGTCCAGGGCCGTGCGCCTACACCCGCACAGATGTCAAAGTGGGAGCAGCACCTGTGCACTCCCATGGAGGTAAACATCGTCCTCACATGGGTGTATGCTGTAGTACACCCATCAGAACAAGGCCTTAAAATTGCATGTCTCTGACAAAAAGCCCCCTATGTGATATAATTACTTCCTGTCAGGTTCTTCTCATTGATGTCTCATCTGCCCTCCAATGAAGCTAATGAAGCACACATCACTCTCCATTAGCTTCTTCACTGGCCACAGCATCCAGGGAAGGTGACACCTGAAACCGGAAGTGATGTTATACACATTGCTTACAGGCTCTGTGCAGCTTAGGTCTCCCTCCCCTCCACCCAGTAACAATCACCATATGCAGGTCCCAGGCAATCAGGTGGTCAGATTTTTTGGTGGTCAGAAAATGTGACTGGGTGGCTGTACATCCGCCCAATCACTTTTAGATAGCCAGCTGTCAGCTTGAAGAAGTGTGAGAGTGCAAACCCCCCTCGAACTAATCCATACATCAGTGGCAGTAAATGGGTTAACAAAAGGCACAACTTTTTTAGTTTTCAATAGCGTGGCGAGGGATTAGAATCCCTGTCAGGTTTTCATTGTTGCCTTTGTCCCCGCTTTAAATCACAGATCGTGAAAGAAGATTTCAAATTTTGGGAGCAGGAATAGAGGGGAATTCTTCCAATGGCCGACTTTACCCCACCCAAAATGAAAAGAAACCGTTTCGCTTTCAGGGCTCATTTACACTTGCCTTGCTTTCTGAAGAGCGATCTGTCTTTTGATTGCTCTTCAGAGAGTGTTTGACAGGCAGTGAGAAGGTGTTGTGTTTCCTCCTCACTGCCTGTTTTAACCCGCTAAATGCTGGACTGCAATACCTAATGTATGTGTAAAGCGCTGCGTAAATTGATGGTGCTATATACAGTGGGGATCGAAAGTTTTGGCACCCCAGCTAAAAATTTGTATTAATGTGCATAAAGAAGCCAAGGAAAGATGGAAAAATCTCCAAAAGGCATCAAATTACAGATTAGACATTCTTATAATATGTCAACAAAAGTTAGATTTTATTTCCATCATTTACACCTTCATAATAACAGAAAACGAAAAAATGGCGTCTGCAAAAGTTTGGGCACCCTGCAGAATTTATAGCATGCACTGCCCCCTTTGCCAAGCTGAGACCTGCCAGTGTCATGGATTGTTCTCAATCATCATCTGGGAAGACCAGGTGATGTCAATCTCAAAGGTTTTAAATGCCCAGACTCATCTGACCTTGCCCCAACAATCAGCACCATGGGTTCTTCTAAGCAGTTGTCTAGAAAACTGAAACTGAAAATAGTTGACGCTCACAAAGCTGGAGAAGGCTATAAGAAGATAGCAAAGCGTTTTCAGATGTCAATCTCCTCTGTTCGGAATGTAATTAAGAAATGGCAGTCATCAGGAACAGTGGAAGTTAAAGCAAGATGTGGAAGACCAAGAAAAATATCAGACAGAACAGCTCGCAGGATTGTGAGAAAAACAATTCAAAACCCACGTTTGACTGCACGATCCCTCCAGAAAGATCTGGCAGACACTGGAGTTGTGGTACACTATTCCACTATAAAGAGATACTTGTACAAATATGGTCTTCATGGAAGAGTCATCAGAAGAAAACCTCTTCTACGTCCTCACCACAAAAATCATCGTTTGAACTTTGCAAATGAACATTTAGACAAGCCTGATGCATTTTGGAAACAAGTTCTGTGGACCGATGAGGTTAAAATTGAACTTTTTGTCCGGAATGAGCAAAGGTATGTTTGGAGAAGAAGGGGCACAGAATTTAATGAAAAGAACCTCTGTCCAACTGTTAAGCATGGGTTGGATCAATCATGCTTTGGGGGTTGTGTTGCAGCCAGTGGCACAGGGAACATCTCACGAGTAGAAGGAAAAATGGATTCAATAAAATTTCAGCAAATTTTGGATGGTAACTTGATGCCATCTGTGAAAAAAGCTGAAGTTAAAGAGAGGATGGCTTCTACAAATGGATAATGATCCTAAACACACCTCAAAATCCATGGGGGATTACATCAAGAGGCGTAAACTGAAGGTTTTGCCATGGCCTTCACAATCTCCTGACCTCAACATAATTGAAAATCTATGGATAGACCTTAAAAGAGCAGTGCGTGACAGACAGCCCAGAAATCTCAAAGAACTGGAAGACTTTTGTAAGGAAGAATGGGCAAAGATACCTCAAACAAGAATTGAAAGACTCTTGGCTGGCTACAAAAAGCGTTTACAAGCTGTGATACTTGCCAAAGGGGGCAGTACAAGATATTAACTCTGCAGGGTGCCCAAACTTTTGCAGATGCCATTTTTTTTTTTTTTCTGTTATCTTGAAAGTGTAAATGATGGAAATAAAATCTAACTTTTGTTGACATATTATAAGAATGTCTAATCTGTAATTTGATGCCTTTTGGAGATTTTTCCATCTTTCCTTGGCTTCTTTATGCACATTAATACAAATTTTTAGCTGGGGTGCCCAAACTTTCGATCCCCACTGTAAGTACCTGTAATAGATGAATAAACTTGAGGACATTTGGTGTGTT